CTTCATCTGGGAGCGCGGCACCGCTCTGCACATGGCTGCTGCCGCCGGGCACACAGAGGCGGCGTTCTTCTTCGCCGAGCACATGCACCTGCCGGCAGACAAGCCCGACGTGAACGGCAACCGGCCCCTGCACCTCGCTGCCCGCGCGGGCGCCACCGCCATCGTCCGCCTCCTCCTCGTGAGCGGGGCAGACCTCGCCGCGCGAAACAAGGCCGACAGGCAGCCGCTGGGGATGGCCCTGCTGCACGACCGCGACCTGACGGCGCACGTGTTGCGAGAGGCGCCTTCCCTCACCCCCGTGCACGTTGCCCTGGCAGGTCACATGCATGGCCTCTTGGCAGACAGGCTGCGGCGTGGCGTGCTCAATCCAGAAACGGCTCTCAACGACCCGGCATTTGGGGCCGCTATGCCCACGTTTGTGCAGCTCGCGCGCAACATGATTCGTGCGCCGCCACTGGCCATGTCGAATGTCAACGACCGCTTGGAGGCGCTGCTGCGGAGTAACAACGACAACGACGATGGTGGTGGTGGCGTTGATGATGGTGATGGTGAAAGCGGCAGCAGTGGCAGTGAAGGGGATGGTGACGGCGGCGATTATGTGCACGACATTGACGCCGACGACGATGATGATGGTGACGACGATGGCAGTGCCGATGCCCTGGCGAGCGAGACCAGCAGCGCCATTGGAGGCGCCAGTGGTGGCGGCGGTGACGAGGCGATTGTGCACCATCACGTGACCTCACTCTTCGCTCAACCGATACCCTCCATCGCTTCCGCTTCATCATCTTCGTCATCTTCATCGTCGTCATCGGCCCATGCCCCAACACCCACGACAACACCCACAACAACACCAGCACTGACAGCAGCATCAACAGCTAGTAGCCTCCCACAGCCATCACAGCAGCAGCAGCAGCAGCAGCAGCAGCAGCAGCGAACACTGCGGCGGCGAAGGAAGAAAAAGAAAAGGGCAGTGCCAGGTCCGCTCGCAGACGGGACGATGGTTCCAACAACTATCACGCGAACGGAGCTGCTTCGTGGCGGCGGGGGCGGTTATGATGCGACCGTTCTGCCAGCACTGGACGCGCCCGTCTCTGTGACCCTTCTTGGCGCATCGCAGGGCCCCCTGCCCCGCCGCGTGTGTGTTGATGTGCTGCGAACCCTCAACATGGCCATCAACATCTCACGGCCGTGGAACCCAAGCAACCACCGCCTGTTCCCAACAGCGTACAGGCACCTCGTGTTTAAGTTGCTGCTCTGCTTCATGCACGAGCGTTTCAGCGATGTGCCGCAGGAGCACGTGTTTGCCATCATCAAACACATGACCCGCGCAGCCATCCAGCAGTAGTAACACTTTTGGCTTGGTGTATGTGTCTGTGTGTGCATGTGTGTGGGCGGTCGGGGGGAGGGAGAGTGTGTTGATATGCGTGCGTCCTCACTCGCTCTCCGCGGCGTTGCATTTGGGTTTCTGTATCTGGGTGTTTCTGCTGTCGCTTGCAATTGCGTGCACGTGGTTTTGCTTTGCACACTGTCCAAAATATGCCTGCGTTCCCTTCTTCTTGACATTTGTTCACGTTGAGCGAGCTATGGTCGTTTATGGCCATCCGTAAATGGAGTCGATGAACATTTGTCAAATCACATCACATCACTGCGAGGGGAACAAGAATGAAAACACCACAAAAAGTGCTGTGTGTGTGTGTGTGCGCGCGCGCGTGTGCGTGTGCGTGTGCGTGTGCGTGTGTGTGTGTGTGTGTGTGTGTGTGTGTGTGTGTGTGTGTGTGTGTGTGTGTGTGTGTGTGTGTGTGTGTGTGTGTGTGTGTGTGTGTGTGCGTGTGTGTGTGTGTGTGTGTGTGTGTGTGTGTGTGTGTGTGTGTGTGTCGTGTGTGTGTGTGTGTGTGTGTGTGTGTGTGTGCGTGTGACAAGAAAGTGGCGAAGGCTGGTCGTACAAGCATTGCAAAAGCATGTGGTTGTACGACCAAGACACATCCAACGAAAAGGCATGTGAGCATCGTGCGCGAGGGTGCATGTGTGGTCGTGGCGATAAAGTCGAGAAAGCTCTCGTTCACGGCACTTCATGTCACACATGTGTTGGCGTCCATGATACCACATGCCAATAGCACCGCACCGCTGTCACGACTGCTGTGTTGCTGATTCCTCCTCCTTCACCACCTCAACGGAACCATCCTCATCCTCATCCTCATCCTGTCGCTCCTGCTGCTGCTTTTCGTGCTGTCCGCTCTCATCGTCACCGGTATCATCACTCCCGCTGCCCTTCCCCTTCTTGTTCTTCCGCGTCTCCCCATCACCCGCTTTGTCGGCATCAGCACCCTTGCCCTTTGTCTTCCCTTCGCCCTTTGCGTCGACCGATTTCCGTGGCCGCCGCACGTCTGCGCTTCCCGTCTTGAAGATGCGCACAAGCAGTGGAATGTCCACCCATTTGCGCGGGAACAGCGGCACAACCATCTCCTTCAGATAGTCCCTGTGTGTGTGTGTGTGTGTGTGTGTGTGTGTGTGTGTGTGTGTGTGTGTGTGTGTGTGTGTGTGCGTGTGTGTGTGTAAATGTGTTTGTGTGTGTAAATGTGTTTGTGTGTGTAAATGTGTGTAAATGTGTGTGTGTGTGTTTGACAGTCAAACAAGATGTAGATGCCTTGATTGCATCCAAAAGTCACAAGCCCCGACTGCCACAATCAGCACTGCCACCACCGCTGTGTACCGGAGCTGCTGGTCGGGTGCTGTGCCTGATTTCCGTCGCCGCTTTTCCTGCGCCGAAATCAACTCCATCTCCACGCTGCACAGTCTCTGCAACTACACACACACACACACACGCACACACGGCGTGCGTACATGCAGGTAGTCTACGTGTGAGGTGCGACATCATGCAGAGTGTACAAGCACAACCAACACACACACACACATAAAAAAAGAGAGAAGATGGAAATGAGTATGCGTACCTCTGCCACAAACGTTGCACTCCAGTCAAACTTGTACTTGAACACCTTCCGCTTCGGTTTCTGCAACAGGAAAATGGAGAGACGAGGCAGCAGCGGCATTCGAGCCGATCAAACACACGCAATTATGAGCACTACAAAAGCAAATGCATGCACGCGCACACACACACACACACACACACACACACACACACACACACACACAAGCACAGATACAGAGCCAGCGCCCACGCACCGCTGGTGTTTGCGACGGCGTTGACAACGAGGATGCTGCTGCTGCTGCTGCTGCTGCTGAGGGTGGTGTTGATGACGACGACGGCTGGGATCCAAGATCAGGGCTGGCCTGCACCGTGGGTGTGAGCGCACTGGTGGTCGCTGCTGCGCTCTCTTCCTCCCGCATGTGTTCGTGCTCCGCCTGCTGCCGTTTCGCTTCCGGCTCCAACCGCTGCACCTCCTCGGCAACAACTGGCAGTGGCGGTGGTGACACGGTGACCACGGTGGTTTCAGACACGAGCACAGAGAGAGAGAGAGAATGAAAACAGAAGCCGAACAGTTCGTGCAGTCGCACACACACGCGCACAAATGCATGTGCACCCCCGCGCACACTCGCACCCACCTTGTTTGAAATGGGTGAGCTGTGCTTCCACGTTGGCAGCAAGCTGCTTGATTTTGTCGTCCTTGCACGCCTTTGACATGCGCTCCTCCCACGAACGCTTCGTGATCTTCACGGGGAACAGCGCAGACAGCACGCCGGCAACAGCCTGCATGGACGGTCATGCAATGAACACACACACACACACACACAACAGGAAGGAGTTACGTGGCGGTGTGTGTGTGTGTGTGTGTGTGTGTGTGTGTGTGTGTGTGTGTGTGAGTGTGTGTTTGCCAAAACTAGGGGATAGCATATCTCCAGCAAACCTTGAGGTTGTCATGTTCCCGTGCAATTTGAGCAAGTCTGGGAATGTCAGACATGCACAGCAAAATTGTGCGGTTGTTAGCCAATGAGGTTGGTCAAGGACAGCAATTATGTGTTTGTTGGCGGACACGGGCGATTGTTTGTGTGCATGTGTGTTTGTGTGTGTTTGTGTGTGTTCATATGTTCATGTGTGTGTGTGTGTGCATGCTCACTTGACGAGGTGATCGTTCATGCTGTGGGGGACGCGCTGTTTCCCCTCCAGCTCCTAGCAAACGAAAACAAGAAGCGCGCGTGATGAGCGATCACCAGTCTTTCCAGCAAACTGACACCAGCATTATCGCAGTTCAGACAAGCATGCAACATCCCATATACACCACAAACAAAGCACTCACTCACTCACTCACTCACACACACTCTCACACACACACACACTCACTCACTCACTCACTCACTCACTCACACGTGCGCAAAAGCAAACAGGTAAAGCCACAAACTCACCCACCCACCCACACACACACACACACACACACACGCACACACACACACACACACATGAACACCCCCACGCTGACAGCGCACCTTGCCCATGTCAAGTGTTGTGTTGAGAGCAGTTTGCAAATCCGCCGGCAGCGATGACAGCGTTACTGCTGCCTCCTCTTTCTCTGCATACATACACACACACACACATGAGCGTGAGCGCACCTCAAGGACCTTGCATTGGGCAGGGAACAACACGATCGTCCTTTCCCTCATTCCCTGTCCTCCTCCGCTCTTCTCCGCGCACTCCCCTTTCCTTCAATATTGCATGCAAGCACAGCCCAGCGCACCTTGTGCTTCCTTTGCTGCTGCATCCCCGTTGTCCTCCGCCACTTCGTCATTCTCCGACTTCTTTTGCGTCGACGACGATGAAGACGGCCGCTGTTTTGCTGTCGCTGTCTTTGCGCCTGCTGTTGCTGTTGTCGTGGTGCCTTCACCGCCACTGCTGCTGCTACTGCTGCTGCTGCTGCTTGCTCTGCTGCTGGTGCTGCCCTTACCTGCCTTGGCGCTGCCAGTGGACTTGCGAGCTGCCCCCTTCCCGGCCGACGATGTTGACCCCTTTGGTGTCTTCCTCGCTGTTTTCTTCTTCACAGTTGTCGAGGGCGGGGTTGTCATTGCGGTTGTTGTTGTCGTGGTTCCATTGTCACCACCACCTGTCGTCTCGGCTGCTTTGCCGGCAGTGTTCTTCAGCAGTGAGTGGATGTTTTCTCCGGCCGCTATCGCCTCAGACTTGACCGCCACTTCCTTGTCCTCTGCTGCTGCTGCTGCTGTCTTCTTTGTCTTCTTTGCCTTCTTCTTCACTGGCGATGGAAACGCGCTGCTGCTTGCACTCGACGCTCCACTCCCATCGGCGCTGGCCGCTGTTGCTGCTGCCGATGCCTTCGCTGCAGTTTTCTTCTTCTTCTTCTTCTTCATTGGCTGCGTCGTATCTCCTGCTGCCGCATCACTTGCACGCCTCTTCGCCGTCTTCCCTGCCGCTGGTGTCACTTTCTTCTTCTTCTTCTTGACCTCGCCCTTGTCCTGTAGCGTCTTTGCCTTTGCTTTCTTCTTCTTCGCGGGCGCGCTTGGTGCCGGCTTGTCACCGCCAGCACCGCCATTTGCGGATGCACGCTTCTTGGCTGCTGCTGCTGTCGCCGTCTTCTTTGGTGGTGTCGCTTTGGTGTCAGCTGCTGTCGTTGTGGCGGTAACTTTCTTCTTCTTCTTCTTCTTTGCCGCCGTTGCATTCGGTGTTGCCGAGTCTGCTTCGCCTGCAGTTCGCTTCGCGCCCTTCTTGCTTGCTGGTGTCCCCGCCTTTCCTCCTTTCTTGCCCCCAGCTGCCGTTGCTGTGGCCCCTTGCTGCTGCTTGCTGGCCTTCTTCTTCTTCTTCGCAGCCGGTGTGGTTGCGGTGGAGGCCTGCGTCGTCGCCGTGGGGTTCTTCTTCTTCTTCTTCTTCTTCGTCGCGACCTTCTTCGTTGCGTTAGCACTTCCCGCTGGTGTTCGCTGCGCGCCGGGCCCGAGCAACACAGCACCGCCATCGTCGCTGTCGGCGCCATCTTGGACTGTTGGATTCACCGTCCCCTGAACAAGTTGAAACCAAACAACACAAAGGAAACGGTGATGGGCTGACGTGCATGCATACAAGAAACTCAGGTGCTGTATTGATTGCCAGACGCAGGACTGCCACATGACACCGCCGGGCGCACCTTGCAGACGTAGAAGGTGCCAAACGTTGTGGTGAATGACTGCCCGTGCCATCCCTGGGCACTGCCGTCGTCGATAAAGTCGTCGTCAACATCGTACTCGTCCTGGCGATGATGTAAGACAACAGGCTGTAGCATCAGCTTGCATGCGTGCGTGTGTGTGTGTGTACATGCGCTTGTGTGTGTGTGCGTGAGTGTGTGTGTGTGTGTATGTGTGTGTGTGTGCGTGTGTGTGCATGTTTGCTGACCTCGTTGGGTTTGCGTGAGCGTGAGGATGTCGAGGCTGCGCTCGGAGTACACTGCACAATGCGCATTGAACACCACACCCATCACCACAGCGTGTGAGTAGGCAAGGATCCATACCACAGCAGTACCGCCCAGAGAATGTGCTAGAACGCTACGCGCACACAACAAGTGTCTTCCAACAGGTGATATGCATGCATGCATGAACCATGGGTTGTTGTACCCAGCGCTGAGCAAGGCCGGCAAGATCGAAACGGGAAGTGGTTAGGGCACCATCGCTGTCATCCATGAGCCCCGCCAAGTCCTTGACGTGCAATGGACACGGTAATTCGTTTGTGTGTGTGTGTGTGTGTGTGTGTGTGTGTGTGTGTGTGTGTGTGTGTGTGTGTGTGTGTGTGTGTGTGCGTGCGTGCGTGCGTGTGTGTGTATGAGGTGTGGTGGACAGGAAGGGGTACGAGGCAGATGAATGTGCGGTGTGAGGTGTTACATACTGTGTGTAGTAGGTGTGAAGGCTGAAGACGCACATGTTCATGCAGTAACAACACACCCCCCCACACATGCGCGTGCATGTCACACATACACACACGCGCGCGCGCGCTCGCACAAAGCACCTCAGAGGGGTCGCCTGGGCCAGCAGCAACAGAAGGTGTGTCTGAGCCATTGCCATGACTGGTGTTGGCAAAGAGCTCCTTGTATGAGAAGTGGTTCTTCCGGAAATCCGAGTTGTCGAGCGTCACCTCAACAAAGGAAGTGGGTGCGCGCTGCGAGGACGGCTTCATCCTGGCACGGCCGTCACAGCAGCAGGGGCTTGAGGCAGAGGCGGCAATGTGCGTCTCTCAGTGCGGTTGCAGCTTTTTGTAGCTGCTGTTGGTGGCGCCTTCTTGAGGTTGCGGACAATTCGCTGTCACGTTCACAGAAATCAATGCCAGTGGAAGAGCTTCAAGGACCCTTCAAGGACAAGTCAAAGATGGCGCACAAGTTAGTGAGGCCGGTGGTGCATCTGTTCACCAAGCGCGACTGCCACCTGTGCGATGTTGTCAAGGCTGTCATGGCATCCTCCACCATCCCAGTACGTCTGTGTGTGTGTGTGTGTGTGTGTGTGTGTCTGTGAATGTGTCTGTGAATGTGTCTGTGAATGTGTCTGTGTGTGTGTCTGTGTGTGTCTGTGTCTGTGCATCTGTGTGTGTGTGTCTATCTGTCAGTGTGTGTGTGTGTGTGTGTGTGTGTGTGTGCGTGTGTGTGTGCGTGTGTGTGTGTGAATTACATGCTGTCTTCAATCTCCCCATCTTCCCCCCCCCCCAAAAAAAAACCTCTCCGCGTCTGCAATTGCCATGGCTGTAGTGTACGTTGGCTCAAAACGCAGCGTCCACAACCACGGAATTCACACGAACATCAGCATGAGGTGGTGATGGTGAACATCACTTTGCCAGGGAGAAGAGCGTGGTTCGACAAGTACAAGTATGATATCCCGGTCCTGTACATCAACGGCCAGTACATGGCAAAGCACCGCATCACAAAGGTGGAATATGTTGACGTACACGCACGTGTAAATTGCCAAGGCTTGCTTGCGAAGTTTTGTGACCGGTTCGTGTTGTATGAAGCTCTTTGTGCGTCTGCTCATGTTTGAACTTTTCACGATTACCGGCTTCCGCGTAGGAGTCATTCGAGGAGACGGCACGCCGCATCATGGCTGGTGAGAAGATACCGCAGGCAATACTGGCCGAGGACCCGAACCCGGACCTCCCAATCGGTCCTCTTCCAGACACGAGCGATCCCCTCTAGCTAGCCAGCTAACTGATTCGTGTGTGTGTGTGTGTGTGTGTGTGTGTCTGTGTGTGTGTGTGTGTGTGTGTGTGTGTGTCTGTGTCTGTGTCTGTGTCTGTGTCTGTGTCTGTGTCTGTGTCTGCGTCTGCGTGTGTGCTTGACTGATTGCTTGTCTGACTCCCCCCCCCCATTCTCCCTCGCTTCTCCCTCGGTGTGTTTCTGATCATCATTGTCACGGTGAACATGAGCACATTTACTTCACAGATCCACGGAAGGTGTAACCAAGCGTGGCTAAACAGATAAACTAAACCCCTAACCCCCAGCCCTAATACTCACTGGCCTGGAAACAGCACGACACATGCCATACACGTATGTATGCACGCATATGCACATAGATACACACACACATGTCTGCGCGCACACGGAAATCATTGCTTGGTTTCGCTGACAGCGCGTAGGGCAAAGGCAATCTCCGCGGCCTCAAGCTCTGGCGTGCTGGCCTCGTGTCCGCCTTCGCGCTCGACCCACAAGACGACATCGGCGTTGCTCCTACTCTGCTGGCGCACTTTGGCCGCATACTTCAGTGGCTGCAACAGTCAGGCAATGGCCATCAACATGACACATGAGCACAGGGCTGTCGTGTGGAGGTGGTGCAGATTGAGAGGGGGGCAAACACTCACTCACGTTCAACAAGCAAACGGGCACAACAAAGATGGTTACATTACACACACTCAGACACACGCACGCATCCACACATGAACAACACATGTGCATGCAAACACATGTACATACATGCATGCTCACAGACCTGCCAATATTTGACGCGATCATCATCAAGGACTGCTGTCAGAAACATGGGCGGATATGGCTGCTGCTTGACGTTCTGATACGGACACAGGCGCTGAAGACGCAAGAATGCATCTGTCCCACGTGCACATAAAGTACAAGTGAGGGTGGCATGCTTTGGTCATGCAACCTCAATGCATGTCCACGAAGCACGGCAAAGGGAGAATGCGTACAGCAAATGCTCACTCACACGCATACACACACACACACAAAAGCAGTCACTCTCTCCCTCACACACGCAATCACTCACTCACACTCACATACACACTCTCACTTACTCACACTCACACACACACACGCACACACTCACTCACTCACACACACTCTCACACACACACACACACTCACTCACTCACAACGCAATACGGCAGACAGCTTTCGAGCACGTGCACCGACCTGGATCAGCCACCGGATCGCCCCACTCGTCCGCCTCGTGCGTCGTGAGCGGAAGCGACGCATCACACATTGTCGTCAACACATCGACAAATGGCACCTACAAGCCAGCGCACGCATTCACCCACACAAGTACATGTGGGAGGTCAGCATCGCAGTTGTTCCTGTGAAACAAAACAAACGCGCGCACATACCAAGCACACATTAAAAAAAAAAAAGACACACGCACACCGTGAAGGTGCATCACACTGCGTATTGAGATCGCACCCGGAGAATGAGGCCAGCAAACAACGACGGCTCCCAGTTACACGCAGCCGCAACAGTGAAGCCGCCTGCAGTTCAAGGCACAGCAAACAGCAAACAACAACACCAACAACAACACCAACAACAACACCAACAACAACAACAACAACAACACCAACAACAACACCAACAACAACAACAACAACAACACAACACCACACAACACCAACGACAACAACAACTACAGGCCAACACGACAACAACAACGACAAGGAGAAGAACAACAACGACACGCGTGAGTAATACGACAACGGAGGGAAAAAACCCCAGGCAGCACGCCCTGCATGCCCGTTATTGTCTCTCACCCAGATGATTTGACCCCCCCAATCGGTAATAGTCCCTCGCTCAGGCCTAGATGGGGGGTGCCGGACCCA